TCTGTTTCCTGTATTAGAAAATCACGGGAAACAGCCGATTACCCGATACAGTCATGGATGATGGAGGTCATGAATTAGTCCATCTTGGACTGCTATTGTGCACTCTTCTTCTGTTGCACTGTTCATATGTGTGCTTGCAGACTTTCTTTCAGAGACTTGATGACTATATGACAGACTTACCTTATGGAAGGTCTGTAAGGAATACTCTCTACAATATAGAGGCCTCAGTCTACTCTCTAGCATCTTGATGAATTCAAGCTCAAAATCAGTGAAGAATCCTAACACAGACACTGTACTTACTTGAGACAAGCCTCCTATATGTCTCATGTTCATATGCCACGTGGTTCATGAAGCTATAGAATTTAGAAATCTCAGTTGTTAATGCAGAAGGCCCCATGAAGCCCTGAAACTTATCCAATTACTTGGGGATGGTGGTCCAGGATGGTTATGATAATCTCCATTTCAACTACCGATGCCTTGCTCTTGAGTTTAGTGTTATGTAGCAGCAAGAGACCTGGCTGTTCCCTCTCAGCAGAGATCACTACCATGACTGTACCTAACACCCATCCTTAAACCTCCTGGACCACCATGGAGCCACTGCTGAGCAAAGGCAAGCTGAGGTTTCTCAGCTCATTTGAGATTGGTCTCAATGTTTGACATTTCTGTTGATGTAGTTCTCACCAGCAGAGGCGTCTGAGTTTTTATAATATGATTTTTCAATGTTGAGGGTTATTGGTATTATTTCCATAGGAAACATGACAGTGAATCCTTACTTTATTCTAATCACTGTGTATTAGAACCTTCTGGATGCTACTTTTTTATATACACATATGTGTATGTATGTCACATGGGCATATGTATGTTTGTCTGTGAATATATGTGATTGGGTGGAAGTACTTATGCATGTAAGAGCATGTTCATGAGTACACAGCCTCTAGTGGAACCCTTAGACACTCTGTCCACCTCCTTCAAGACAAAGACTCTTGTTCACCTGGAGTTCACAGAAAGGATAGCCTGGCTGAGGAAAGAACCCAGGCATCTGCCTAGCTCTAGCTCACCAGAAATGGGATTCCAAGCATCCACAAATCATCACACCTGGCCTTTTAGTATGGATTCTTGAGAAGTCAGTTTCTCAAAATTGTGAGGCTGGCACTTTAATGATAGAGCAAGCTCTCCATAGCCCTGCGTCCCATACTACAAACAAGGATGTAAAAATGTTGAATTGCTCACAATAGGGTCTCCTGTTTAGAGGCCCTAAGAGATTCCACTTAAGGTCAAGGCAAAAATACCAAGGTAGCAAAATTAACAGGTGGAGATTTTAAAATACTCTCATGGGTGTGACTCCTCCCTGTGCTCTCTTGTTTACTAAGGTATGTGATATGGTACTCTGCATCCAGACATGAAACAATATGCTCCTGAGAGACCCACACACTGCCAACTACATGGTGTTTCTATCAGCTCGAGACTGGAGGTCACTATGAAGAGACTGAAGCTATTCGTCTTTGAGTTTGAGAGTTAATTCCCTGAATATGGCACCCTAATATCTGCAGAAGGATTTGTCTATGTGGTGCTGGAGCCTTTGTGATTCAGAAAAGGTTCAGGGACCCAAGACTGAGCCGTCAGGAGATAGGTTGTTTGACAGTTGTTCTGTATCTCTGGGGATGAGAATGTTGTCCTAGAGAAGCTATTAGAAGCACTGTCTACTCTATGAGCTATTATCAATACCATCTTACAGCCACTCAGTAGACAATGGAGTGGATTCAGTCAGAAGTTGCAAAGGTAGTTTGCAACTATCTGGTCTGGAGACCTCGTAAATGTCACTTTTATTTCCTCTGATAATGGGATGAGATGACAGCCATACACAAGCTGTGTGAAGACACAGCTTGGGTTCAGCCCAGGGGTTTTCCTTGTTCTATCCATCCCTAGGCCTATGCCTGCATCTTGTAACCTCCTTACAATCTAATCTTCTAAACTGACTGATTCATTTGGACTGCTCTCAATTTCTCAGTGAATTGCTCTGCTTGGCCTCTTCAACGATATGTTTCAATATTCTGCCTCCTTCACATTCTCTGGCTTTTTCTATCTTTACCTGTGTCTAACTTGTTCTCTCTGCCACTGTCTTTGCAAAACATTCTGGGTAAAAACTGCCACACCTTTCTCTCACTCAAAAAGTAGCCTCTCATTCCTATGTTACTCTCTGAGTTAGACATATCGTATCTTTGACTTATCTGTCAGTTCTTTCTCTGATTTGTTACTTTATCTGCCCACAATTAGACATCATTTTCACTCATGTCTGCTTCTTCCTACATCCTAACCTTGACCTTCATTGTTAGGGATTAAATGTATGTATTAAGGACTTGTCTATTCTGAGCAGATCATACAGTAATCCAGGGCATGTTTGGATTGTGACATGATCGTGTTTTGGGCTGACATCCCTTGCCCAGAGCAGACACATTCCTGGATTAAAAGTCTTCTGGATTAAAAAGGCCTCATAGTGGTACAGGTTTTGATGAATAAGTGGTTATCCAATGTGACTGAAGGCAACACTTTCCATGGATACACACATGATATAGGTCACATTCTGTATTCAAGAGTCAAATAAAGCTTCTGATGCCATCCAGGTGAGAAAGGCCACTGAGATAACACTCACTGGAATTTCTCTTAAACAGCTTCCCCAGGTTTTCAATCTCACTGTGACTCCCCATTGGAAGAGTTCTCCTAGGGAGGACCAACAGTGAGCAAAGAGGATCCAAAGAATCCCATTCTGTTTCTGCCTAGCCAAATAGAAAGTGTGTATGTGGAGGGTGTTAGAGCTGAGAGAGGTAAAACTAAAAATGTTCATGCAGGATCCCTGAGGGAGGGCTTAACTAAGAACACTGTAAGATAGCATGAGGCACTAAAGTTGCTGAAAGTTTAGAACATTAGTTATGTACCAGGACCTACACTTTTATTAAATGCTGAGAGGTTATTTTTCACGTTGAAATAGTAAGAATCTCTAGAAATTTCTGTCAGCTAATTGTAAAAGATGCAGTGCTGCACATGGCGAGATGATAGCTCCCTGGTAAGTCATGAAGGCTTAGAATGTATTACTTTTCACATTTCAACCTGTTCCTGTGCTGACTCATTGCTTGCCACATTGCTCTCCTCTTCTTCCTCTTCTTCCTTTTCTTCCTCTGAAGTAGAAACAGTGGCTTCCTCAATCATTGGTGTTGCTACATACCTATAAAAAATCCAAGGGAACGGAAAGAATAAGAAAGTAACAAAAGGAATCAGAATAATCAGTGTCAGGTCCTTTTCTTCCTTGGGTTCCTCTTCTTCCCCAGGTGGAGGACCACTGTCAACACTCCCTCCAAAGCCAATTTTCAGGCAATTTGGTGGGTCCCACCCTCGGTCGCAGTGGCAGTGGTGTAAGTTGTTGCACACACCTTTCATGTTACATACCTTGGGTGAACACTTACTTGCCCAAATTGACTTTCTGACACACTTCTTATTAATACACACATGCTCTGGACCACAGTCTGTGCCATCTTTCACAAAACCGATGTCAGGGATTGTCATCCCAAAATGGTAGTCAGTTCCCCAACAGGTGACACCATTGCGGTGAGTCCAGTGTACAGTGGAATGCCCCTGCAACAGTGGAATGCTTCTTACGTTCTCACACTGAACTCTGCCACAGAGGATGTCTGAGTCACTACATCTTAAGTATGCATTTCTGATCATACCACAGTTGCCAAAACGGTCACCTTGGGTGTTGAGTTCTCTGTAGCAACTCTGAGCTGCACTCCTGGCTTCTTTGCCAAAGATTTGCTTACACTGTTCATCTCGCTTATTACATCTCTTTTCATAGCAGTAGCCACCATCTTCACAGGGGCTCCCATCAAGCAAATAAACGTCATTAGGACACATATGTGAGCTTCCATTGCACCATTCTGGAAGGTCACATTCATTGACCTTTTCTCTGCAAACTGTGCCTGATGATGTGATCTGGCAATGTAAGCAACAAAGCCCAAAAGCACAGGCAGCCCCATCATTGAGGGTACACCTGGAGTTACAACATGGATCTGTTTTACACACTTCTGCAGATCCGCAATCACATTGCTCTCCGTCTTCAACCACTCCATTCCCACAGAACTTGATTTTGGGGTTGCGTATTGGCTTCTTTTCCTTGCGCATGCACTTGGCAGTAGCATACATTGTCCAAAAGTCAGAATAACTACAGTTACTAAACTTTGGGATGCCACTGTCTGTTGGAGCCATTAAGCAATCGTTTACTCCACATGTACATGAGCCAGTATCATGCTCCATACCCAAATTATGACCCATCTCATGTGCTATAATTTTCCCGAAATAAAAAATATTAGGTCCTATCAGACGATCAATTCCACAATTATGAGTTGGCACACAAACACTCCCAATAAACGCTAAACCAAGGAAAACACCAAAATCATGGTTCACAAAAAGATGTCCAATGTCATTTGGAATACGAAAATTAAGGCTGAGAGTCTTCCAAATACAAAATTCCTGTAGGAGGTCCTCTATGCCACCCACAGCCACATGGTTTCTTTCATTCCACAGCTCAACTCCTTGTAAAACTAGCTCAACATCCAGTGTCTGATAAATTTTATTTATTATACTGATAATGATGAATACTTCTGCTAACACACGAGACGTGTTATTGTTATGATAACGAATTCTCTCATGGTCAACAACCAATGCCAGGTCAAGAAAATGCTTGTGAGTCCACCATCCCTCATAATGGCTTTGCATCAGAGTGGGGTTCTCATTCTTCTGAAGCTTCATTTGCCTTGCTATCTCTTCTTCTGTCAATGCACATCTCAGGGGGTATAATTCTGTCTCCTCATTTTCTAACTTTTGAACCAAATGTTCAAATGTAGAAGAAAGTTTCTTGGGCTTGATTTCATAAACTGTGCCATTTATCTGTAATAGTCCTTGAAAGCCTCCATAACAGGTAGTAATAGCAACCATGGACTCTGGGTCTCCATCCATATAGCCATGGTAGTAACAATCTTGCTGGACATATGGCTGGTCTTTATGTAGAGCACCTTGCTTAGTGTAGGTGAATACAGAGAAGAGTCTGGATACAAAGACCTTCTTGGCCTTCATGTAAATAAAATGTTTGTGGCCCCCAAAGTGAAGGCTATAGGTCAGCCATCCCATAGCCCACATTGGTCTGTTGCCTGTGACCTGTAAGGGTATCACTACTTCTGGGAGGCTGGTGTGCTGAGCATACCCGGTCAAGGGCCATGATGAAAGAATGATCAATATCTCCAGCCAGAGGTACAGATGAGATATCCTTGTGTATACCACAGCCTTACTCATAGCTACCTTGTCCTCTGAGACAGCAAAGGAGGATG